TATATATATATATATATATATATATTCTTGAAGATCTATGAATTTAACGATAATGTCAATTTAAAGTTATTAAATATGTGAGCGATTTTGGCACTCAACGACCACCAACCAATCACCCTCCAATGACTCTAAGGTACGTAAAGGCGTAAGAAAATAAATGTACTTAGACATTTTGCATAATTTAAATATTTTAAATTGCATATCTTTAAATTTTTAAGATTATTTTTCTTGTTAAATTTTTGATATGCATACGATAAAATAAGTATAGCTTGTTAGACTTAGTACTAGAATGTGACTAGTAACTTCAAATTAAATTTTAGGAAACGGCACCACCTACTCACACAAACTTGATGCGCGATTTACTATAGGCGGTAAAAGAACTTAGCAGACAAAGCCAAGCACCGCCACCACAGAATGCACTGCCACAACGAAATGCACCTCCATTTGTCCCAGGAGCTGTCTCAGTGGTTGAGCAGTTTCGTAGGTACAAGCCTCTGACTTTCGACGGTGGTTCTAACCCACTGGTTGTTGAGGAGTAGATTAGAGGTCTAGAGCGCATCTTCCGACATGTCACTTGTACGAATGCACAGAAGGTGCTATGCGCAGAATTTATGTTTGTTGGAGCAGCTAGTCACTGGTGGGAATCTGTCTCACATACTAGGACGAAAGAGCAGCAACGTAATTTGACTTGGGAGCGGTTTAAGGATGAAATGATGGCAAAATATTTCCCACAGGCTTTGAGAGACTTCAAGGAATCAGAGTTTCTACAGCTCGGGCAAGGAGACATGTCGCTTACTTATTACGAAAGGCAGTTTGAGCAGCTCTCAAGACATGCTCTGCATTTAGTGGATACTGAAGTTAAGAAGATTAGGAGGTTTGAAAATGGACTGCACCCAGAGATCGGCATGATCATTATGTCCCATCGTTTTACATCATATTGTGAGATGTTGGAGAGAGCCCATGCTATTTCATATCAGAGGACAACATTTGGACAGTATGCCCAGCAGAGTAGGGAGTCATTGGGAAAAAGAAAGTGGAGTGATCAGAACAAGAACAGACGTAACTTGCAAAATAAAAGACCAAGCACAGAAGTTCATATTGGTGGGACGAGTGGGAGTATTACACCCTGTCCTAAGTGTAATAAACTCCACAGGGGTGAATGTTTACTTGGGAAGAACATGTGTTTCCGATGTGATAAGCCCGGACATATTGCTCTCAACTGCACAGAGCCTCCAAAGAAGAAGGATGATGATCAAGACAAGAATAAGAAAGCAAAGGCTCGAGTTTTTGCACTGAATCAGCGTGAGGTGGAGCAGGATTCGAATGTGATAGCAGGTATTTTAATATTAATATTTTCAACATACATGCTTATGTTCTTTTACCTAGGACCATACATTGTTTTATCTGTGTCATTTGGTTGCTAGTCTAAAATTATAATTACATAAACAGGTATTATGTTATTATCTGATGTACCTGCTTACGTACTTTTTGATTCTGGGGCAACAAATTCTTTTATCTCTGCATCCTTCGTCGCTAGGTCAAACTTTGCATGTGTGAAAACAAATTATGAATTAGAGGTTCTCATCCATTCAGGAAGAACTGTTTGTACAAATCGAATTACTAAGGCTACGAAGTTAGAGATTGATGGGAAAATATTACAAGCAAACTTATACCTTTTGGAGATGAAAGACTTCGATGTTATTTTGGGCATGGATTGGTCGGGACTTAATCGTGCGATCATTCGATGTCATGAGAAAGAAGTAGTGTTTCACAGACCGGGAGAGGAAGAATTTCATTTCTTTGGAGCAAAGTTCAAGTCCTTGGCTCATTTTGTATCAACTATTCAAGCAAAAAAGATGTTGAAAAATGAGTCATGTCAAGGATTTCTAGTTAACATCACCAGTCCCCAACATACAGGAACGACTGTTAACGATATTAACATTGTGCGAGATTTTGCATACGTATTTCCAGAAGATTTACCAGGCATTTCACAAGATAGACAAGTGGAATTTACAATTGATTTGGTTCCTGGAGAAGCACCAGTATCCAAGGCCCCATATCGGATGGCACCGAAAGAACTTCAAGAATTGAAGTTGCAATTAGAGGAGTTGTTGGAGAAATGTTTCATTCGACTAAGTGTGTCTCCTTGGGGAGCTCCTGTACTTTTTATCAAGAAGAAGGATGGGAGTATGAGGATGTGTATTAACTACCTGGAATTGAATCATCTGACCATCAAAAATAAGTACCCGTTGCCAAGAATAGAAGATTTGTTTGACCAGTTAAAGGGTGCTATACTGTTTTCAAAGATAGACTTGAGGTCAGGCTATCATCAGCTGAAAATCAGGGCAAGCGATATACCAAAAATTGCTTTCAGGACCCGTTATGGACACTATGAATTCACTGTCATGCCTTTTAGTTTGACCAATGCTCCAGCTGTATTTATGGATCTCATGAATAGAGTGTTTCATTAATACTTATACCAATTCGTCATAGTATTTATTGACGACATACTCGTGTACTCCAAAGACAAGAAACAGCATGAGGAACAACTTTGAGTAGTACTTGAAACCTTGAGGAATGAGAAATTATATGCTAAATTCAAGAAGTGTGAATTTTGTCTTGATCGTGTAGGTTTCCTTGGTCATGTGGTTACCCCTCAAGGAATTGAAGTAGATCCTACTAAAGTAGAAGTTGTAACAAATTGGCCAAGGCCGAGCAGTGTGGGTGAAGTCCGCAATTTCTTGGGATTGACTGATTATTATAGGAGATTCATTGAAGGATTTTCAAAAATAGCAGGGTTGATGACTCAATTGATGAGAAAGGGTGTGAAGTTTCAGTAGACAGAAAAATGTGAGAAATGTTTTCAAGAACTCAAGCAGAGACTAGTTTCAACTCCTGTATTGACGATGCCAGATGGCTCGGATGGATTTGTGATTTACAGCGATGCCTCCAAACAGGGTTTAGGCTGTATACTGATGTAGCATGGAAAAGTGGTAGCTTACGCCTCGAGACAGTTGAAGCAGTATGAACAAAACTATCCAACACACGACTTGGAGCTTGCAACAGTAGTCACGCCTTAAAGATATGACGTCATTATCTCTATGGTGGGAAGTGTGAAATTTATACAGACCACAAGAATCTCAAATACTTTTTCACACAGAAGGAACTGAATATGAGGCAGAGGAGATGGTTGGAGTTGGTGAAAGATTATGACTGGAAAATTTTCATACCATCCGGGTAAGGCTAATGAAGTCGTAGATACCTTAAGAAGAAAGACGGGATCGCAGTTAGCAGTTTTACCTATGGTGCAGGAACACTTGATAAGGGACTTTGAGAAAATAAGATTGGAAGTCATCACACCGCCAACTCAGACTACAGCAAGGATAAGAGCATTTATGATTCAACCCACTCTTCGAGGTGGAATTAAAGAAGCACGGGATAAGGACCCGTTTTTGCAGAAGATAAAAGCTGAGATTGGTACAAACAAGCGTATAGGATTTGAAGTATCTGCAGATAAAGTATTGACTTTTAAAGAAAGGTTGTGTGTACCTAAAGATGAAAATATAAGAAATGAGATATTGGAAGAGGCTCACTCTACCCCGTATTCGGCACATCCAAGTGGTACGAAAATGTATCGAGATCTCTGAGATACATATTGGTGGAGGAACATGAAGAGATGAATTGGTCTATTCGTTGAAAAATGTATTATCTATCAACACGTCAAGACGGAACATCAAAGGCCATCAGGGCTACTGAAACTGTTAGATATTCTCAAATGGAAGTGGGAACACATAACGATAGACTTTGTGGTAGGCCTCCCGAGGTCAGCAAAAAGTCACAATGCTATCTAGGTAGTGGTGGATCGTTTAACAAAATCAGCCCATTTTCTACCCATCAAAGTAAACTTCAACATGGAACAGCTCGCAAAGTTATACATCATAGAGATAGTCAGATTGCATGGACTTCCAGTCACCATTGTTTCAGATAGAGACACGAGGTTCACACCTAAATTTTGAAAAAGTTTGCAGACAACCATGGGGACGAAGCTGAAGTTTAGCACTGCTTATCATCCTCAGACGGATGGACAATTAGAAAGAACCATTCAAACTCTGGAAGATATGTTAAGAGCATGTGTTCTGAATCTTGGAGGAAGTTGGGAAATACACCTACCTTTAGTGGAGTTTGCTTACAACAATAGTTTTCAAGCCACTATAGGTATGGCCCTATATGAAACTTTTTATGGTAGAAAGTGCAGATCCCCTATCCATTGGGATTAGGTCGAGGAGAACAGAATTCTGGGTCCTGAAATCATTGAACGAACAGTTGAGGCAGTTGATAAAATTAGAACAAGAATAAAGGCAGCACAAGATCGTCAAAAAAGTTATGCTGAAAGTAGAAGAAATAATTTAGAATTTCAAGTAGGCGACAAGGTTTTTCTAAAGGTAGCACCAATGAAAGGTGTATTGAGATTTGGAAAGAAAGGGAAGTTGAGGCCGCGGTTCATTAGACCTTTCGAGATCCTTGAAAGGATTGGTGTTGTGGCTTACCGACTTGCCTTGCCACCTGAACTGGCAGTAGTGCATAATGTGTTCCATATCTCGATGCTCAGAAAATATGTTCATGATCCCAATCACGCGGTAAGTTACCAAGCCTTGGAAGTACAAAAAGACCTATCATATGAATAAATCCCGACAATGATTTTAAACAGAAAAGTGCATCAACTCAAAAATAGGAAAGTTCCCCTAGTCAAGGTCCAATGGCAAAACCATGGACTTGATGAGTCAACTTGGGAGAAAGTAGAGGAGCTTAAAACCAAGTATCCAGAGCTTTTCGATTAACTAAGGTAAATTTACAAGGACGAAAATATTTGAAGGAAGGGAGATTGTAATGTCCCAAAATTTCATAGATTAGAATTTAATTTATGCTTGCTATATTTTAATATTTTGGAAGTTTAGGGAGTAAAATATATGTAAAGTAAACTTCATTATTTTTGGATGTTAAAATGTAGATGTTGACGAAACGGCAATAAGTATATCAATATTGTACTCGTTGGATAGCTTGCAAGTAATCACGTATACTAGGCTTGAGAAAAGATTATTTTGGAATGAGTTAGCCCAAGATATTGTAGTTCTAAGGATTTATATTCTTTTTGTAATTTATTAAGTGGTTTATTGATTTTAAATATGGCAGTAGGCACGTGTATGGGTAATTAAACATAAACTAATCTTTTTATTTAATTAGGATTTGTGATTTAATTAAAACTACAGTTAGTCTTTCTTTCATTCATTCACTCTTTTATTATTATTAAATTTTTTTTTTTAATTGTGATTTGCAAATCCCACGGAAACTCTTTTATACAATCCTTATCTAAATTGTGGGACACGGTTGTAATAAGTCAGTTTCGTAACAACTTAATCTGTGAAATTTTTGAGGATAAATACATACTACAAGAAATTGGAGTAATTCCCCAGAATATATACAATTACACGACATAGCACTATAGAATTAATTTTTGCACGTACGAGGCGGAATACAATTGTTCACGTCTATAGATAGAGAATTTGGAAAAGTTTTGGAACGTGAATCTTGTTTTGTCTTCCAAACATTTAAGCAAGTTAACAAAGTAGGATATGAGGTACAGTATTTTTATATCCCATTTAATTATTTTTCTTTCATGTTGATGAAATTTTATACTCATGAAAGTTAAAATTATGATATGATATGCTATGATGTGAATAATATGGTCATTCTGATACAACAATATGATATGGTATGAGTTCTTACCGGATTTTAAAGATATAAGACGGTATGATTTTCTGATGCATGTTTTCAAAATATTATACGGGATCGCACCATTAATTTTATATCATACTGAGTATTTCTATATACTCACCATTTTCCCTACTCCTCACAGATTAAAACGGGTCGTTGGTTGGGGGGCAATGCGGTGGAGTTGTGATGGCAGAAATTATGGAATTCAAGATAAATAAATTCTAAGTAACATGATTAGGAAGTTTTATTTATTTATTTTTCTTTGCGTTATTTCAGTTTTATCTTCATGTTAAATATGAAATTTAATATTTGGAACATGGTTTAGTTAATTATGTTTTCCATAGACTTTATTTATTTTATAAACGAAACTAGAAAGACTTTCATATAGAATGTTTGACATAATTCATTTAATTATGAAATAAATGTTTTAGTAACGATTTTAAATCTTTAAATTTTGGGTTGTTACAATTGGAGAATAAAAGTCAACTAGTGGGTTGCAAATAATGGAGTGCGGTCCAATTGAATTGATGAAAAGATAGTGTCCAGTTGGGTGAGAAAAGTAAAGAGACATTAATGAATGGAAAAATTTCAACAGCGGTCTTTAACTTTTTCTTTTTTACAAACTTTATCCTAACTTTCATTTTGTATTAACGAAGGTCCCTAACTTTTTTATAAATATGCACATGAGGTCCGCCTAGATAGAAGTCATCTAAAACACTGCTAGTTGATCGAGAAAATTCCTTGAACTATATATTACTGTGACGGTTTTATTGGATATTGATACCTTTTTGGACAGTGATTTTGGATAGTATTTTGGACGATTTTATTAGATGTTGATTCTTTAATTTTCTCAGTCAACTGACTGTGTTTTGAACGATTTTCATTCAGATAGACTTCAGGTGCATATTTATGAAAGGTTAGAAACCTCCGCTAGAACAAAATGACGGTTAAGGAAAAGTTTGTAAAAAATGAAAAGGTTTGGGACTCCCACTGCAATTTCCCCTTAATGAATTTGGCATTTAATAGGTTGTTGGAGGCATGGGAGTAAAAAGGATAAAACTTAGATTACATTGTTCACTTTCCACATGCAATTGTCCTTCGTTATCAGAATTTTAATCAATTGAGCTAGGCATGCATCGTGAAACGGTCTAATAATGTCTAAAAATGGGCCAAAAATATGCACCAAACAGGCGCATAATATGTAATACATAATCTATGACTTACAGAAATATGAAAATAAATATGAAGTTTTTTTGTCACTTGATTACCATTTATTACTCGACAGGATAAATACTGATCATTTAAGCACTTTTAAGTAGTAGCAGTAGAGGTTCAATGCATTTTTATTTTTTATTTTTTAACGAGGTGTCCCAGCTTGCACCAGACTATATCCTTGTCCCTGAACCTCCGGCCCCTCAACAGCTCTGGGAGGTAAATCGCGGGATGTGCCCTTATTGGTTCTCAGGTTCCCACACGGCTTTTACTCTTTCCCCAAAGGAAGCATCTTCACTGCCTTACAGCAACTTGCCTTCCAAGTTGTGTCTTCCAAGAATCGAACTCCCCACGAGCCCCCCAAATGCGATTGTTCCGCCAACTTGGATGTGCCCCGGGGGGCGGTTCAATGCATTTGTTATGCATTGAACAATTAGAAGAATAATTTTGAGTGTAAAAAAATGACATTATTAGAAGTATTATGTGATTAGAAGTTTTTGTTCACAGCTAGGTTGATATGAGATGAGATCAATATATGACACCTAGGGCCTTACGGGGCACAGTCTAATGGTGCAAATGATAGAAGTGAGGTTATCTCACGCCTTGTTGGTAATCGCAGTGTGGGGGTTCGATTCCTGAAACATGAAATTGGACTCCTTGTAGACGCAGTGTACAAACAGCTCTTGTTCCCTGGCCTACTGGGACACATTCTGCGATTTACCTCCCTCACAAAACTCTAGTGGCGGGGCTGTAGGGACTCTCAAGATTGGGGTTCAACCTTTTTAATATATGACACCTAGAGAGACTAGATTTGACATGATATGAAAAGTCGATTATGCAATGGATGAAATTAGAC